TTCTAGCCACCCCAAGGCTCATGACCGCGGCAGTGACCCAAAAGGACCAAAAGCTCCACATCTTAGAGTGGATCCATCTCTCCCACACGCCCCGATGCTCCATCACTTCCAAACCAGCTCAATTGGCTCAATTAATCGTAAAGGGCAGGAGCCGCACAAAAGCACTCATGGGGATAGATGTCTCCACACGTTTTATCCCCTTCTCGCTGCAAATTTGGGAACCTCTATTCCAAAACTCCCAGGAGCTTCAGTTGGCCTTATCCAACTGGCCTGGGCTAGTCTCCTGCCACCCACCCGCTGACCCACGTTTTCAGATCATTCGAACCATACCCATCTCCTTCTCCTCTCCCATCAGCAAACAACCTTTGGTCAGTGCCCTGACTATATTTGCTAATGGCAGCAGGGAACGAGGGGCATCCGCTTGGCAAAAGAATGGAGCATGGCACACCAAAACCACCCCTGTGCAGACTTCACCACAAAGGGCTGAGCTTGCTGCAACCATACTAGTCCTTCAAAATTTCAGCGAACCCCCCAACTTGATCTTGGACAGCCTGTATGTTACCCAAATAGTCTCTACCATCCACGACTCTTACCTCTCTCCCGCTATTGACAAGAACCTTCTCTCTCTTTTTGTTACACTGCAACAGCTTGTTGCGCAACGACAACACCCTCTCTTTGTAGCCCACATTCGCAGCCACCAGCCTTTCCGAGGAATTCTCCAGGAAGGCAATGACGTGGCTGATCAAGCGGCTGCAGGTATTATGACCACGCACACCCTAACTCCCTGGGAAAGCCATTCTTACTTTCATCAAAATGCCAAAGCCCTCATGAAACATTTTAACCTTACCATGGCAGAAGCCTCAGCCATCAGACAGCAATGCCCCACCTGCAGTCAGCAAGCCAATTCCATCCCCTTAGGAGTAAATCCCCGTGGGTTGAAAGCCTGTGAAATATGGCAAATGGACGTTACTCAGTTTCCTCCATTTGCCCCCCGGAAGTACCTGCATGTCACAATTGATACTTAGTCAGGGTTTATAATGGCAACCCCGCAGAGAGGAGAAGCCTCTAAACATGTCATCAACCACTGCATTTGCACCTTTGCATCGTTGGGACGCCCAAACGAAATAAAAACAGACAATGGTCCTGCATACACTAGTGTGGCTATGTCAGAATTTTGCTCTAAGTGGCAGGTCACCCACAAATTTGGGATCCCTTACAACAGCCAGGGACAAGCCCTGGCAGAGAGAGCCAATTTAACTTTAAAGACAGCGCTAGAATGACATCTGACCAAAGGGAAAAAACCCCTTGGCCTCCCGGTGATGCAAAACACCCTTAATCTTTGCCTTTATACGCTTAATTTCCTCAATCTCTCTGGCACCCCTGCTACGACAGCAGCGGAGCGACACTTTTCCTCCCACCCCCTCCTGATTCTCCCAAACCACAGGTATACTACCGCCAACTGTCAGAACCTGCTTGGAAGGGTCCTCCTGATCTCCTCACCTGGGGTCGTGGCTATGCAGCTATCCAGCTTCCAGATCGTGTCCTGTGGGTTCCTGGACGGCACGTCAGACCATACCACCCCAAGGTAGCAAAACCACCAGCTGCAGACATATCAACATGATCTGCCCTGCTGCTTCGCTTACCCTCCTCCTCCTCCTCTTCCTCCTTGCTGCACACGCCTCCAAAGTTTCCATTCCATCCAGAGTAACATACTTCACGCCAGACACCCCCCTCCTGCTGACCTACACTGCATCCTGGGACATTTTTCCCCCTTATCTCAGATGGTCAACGCTTCCTCAGCCATGGTCCTACATCTCCAGCAACACCTCTTTCCGGGTCAACACCTTTGAACAACCCCCTCGAGCTACACTCCTCATATCCCATCCTACTGCAACCACCTACTATTGTTCAGGTCGACGCCTCCATGATTCTACGCGCAACACCTACAGCTCCTGGACAATCCTCAGACCTCGCTCACCTCATCATCATCACAGACAATTCGTGAATCAGCCTGACACTCATATTCAGAACCCCCCTTTGCTGCATAGGATTAAAAGATCACAAAAACCCACCAAACCAGATGACTGCACCCCCTGCTTGACCAAAACCACACAAGCAGGCTTCACTCGACTGACTCTCATTTACCATACCCAGCAACCACAGAGATGCCTTTCTACTGGGAAAACTTGCCAGAATAACGGAACTATGTATCAGTTATGCAAAATGAACTCAAAAACTATTTGCTATGACCCCAAGATGGCTGTTCGCCTCAATGTTACTTTGTGGGCCGGACTTCCAAAAGCCTCTGGCAGAGCCGAACCTGAAGGGGAGGGAAAACTTTACTACCTAAATCACACCACTGTGCTTAAGGATGGTACTGACCCAATTGTCTTAACTTTTGATGTTTGCATTGCTTGTTCCAAATCAGGGGGATATCCTTGTGGGTCAGATGATTGGAAAACCAAATATGCTCATGATCATAAGTATTTGTGTCCCACACCCATCAATTGGGCCGTAGGAAACCCTAATCATTGGATCCCTTGCGGGGGCTCCATTGAATGCTCGGGTTGGTCTTGTGTCTGTGATTACACTGGGGAGGGTACTCAGGCTGCAATCATCTGTCACATTTTAAACGAGTATCAGGGTCTACCAAGGACAACAAGGTAGAGATCACTATCTCCAGACAACACCCCGCCATGGATACCTATGGTATAGGGTTCGATGGCATAGGAGCAGACCCAAACACCTACATTACTATAAAAACAGAAGTGATATATGAGGGTAAGGAAACATCATTAGGCTGGTCGGCGTATAATAATTTAAGAAAGTTAGATAAAGCCCCTGATACCAGCATAATAGCAAAAAACCTATTCATGGACATGGCAGAAAAAATTGCAAAACAACTTGCAATAACCAATTGCTTTGTCTGTGGGGGAACCACCACAGGAGAACAGTGGCCATGGCAAGCCTTAGAAGCCTCGCCATCACTGTTCAACAACATGTCTTCTATAGGAAACATAACAGCCAGAACTGCCCCCGACCCCCTTATCTGGACAATGACTACCAGTCTAATCGGTAGAAACTGCTTCTCCCAAAACGGGTCCATTCCGGTAGGACATCTCCTTTGTTTAGGTACGTGGGACATCTCCTACCGGAATTGGACAGCACCTGATAATGCTACTACCACACCCACAAAATTCAACACAACCCTCCTCCCTTATCTCAGGGACACTTCATCCTCCCAGAACTGGACTGCACCCAATGACATGTATTGGATCTGCGGCAACCTAGCCTACCCATCCCTCCCAGCAGATTGGCAAGGGTCATGTGTATTGGGATGGATATGCTTCCCCTGCCAATCAGAATACACAGGGGACACCTGGACCTCAGAAAGAATCGTCTGCACCTATGGCATGGCTACTTGGGCCCAAGACGGGTCTTATGGGTACAGGACCCCCATATATATGCTTAATAGAATCATTCATTTGCAAGCTGTCTTAGATTTAGCAGGTCAACGAATAGACAAGGCTCTAAACATTCTTGCAACTGCTACAGACAAATCACGCACAGCTGTCTACCAAAATCACTTGGCTTTGGATTATTTATTAGCCAAGGAAGGGGGGGTATGTGGAAGGTTTAATCTCACAAATTGCTGTCTTCAAATTGACAAGGTTGGCAAAGTCGTAGCGCGGTTAACTACTGAGATGCAACAATTAACCTACAATCCAGATCAAGTATGGCGAGGTATGGACCTCAAAAATATCTTTGGCTCCTGGCTCCCAAAACTGCCAGGATTACAAGCTATAGTAGCGCTCATAGGTATTATTGCTGCTGGGTGTGTCATTCTTCCATGTATATTACCAATCTTTGTTCGCACCATCTCCAATAGTCTGTCACTGCTAGCAGAAAAACGTGCCATTGCACAGGTCAATGCCCTCTGGGAAAAAGAATCTCTGTACAAAGCTATACCCTCAGAGGACCCCGATGAAAACATGCGCACAGGCTTCTGTATGGGCTATAGCGAAGAACCAGAAGAAATCCCTCTGCATAAAACTAAAACAGAGGAGATGCAGCAGCGAATCCACATCTAACAGCCTGGGCATATGCCAAAGCCTCACGTAGGCAAAGGAGTTTTGATATATGCCAAGCCTCACGTAGGCAAAGGAGTTTCGATACCTGCAAGACCTCACGTAGGCTGAAAGTAGGTATCAGGAACAAAAGGATGCTGCCCACCTTGGGCTACTGGCTGGACTGCAGGCGCGGATTGGTTACTTTGTATCCCTTAAGCACTGTGATTGGGTGCTACAATGTATCCACTGAGACCCCCCACTCTTTTAACATGTAAAGTAGACTGAACTTTCTCTTTTGTGACGTTTAACAATGTGTGTTCAATAAAAGAGCTTCCCTGAGCGCGTGTTCGGGGCTGCTCATCCAAGACTGAACCGGCTTGGTCTCTTTCTTGATGCATTGGACTCAATGAGAAGCCCTCCTAATGCGGAGCAAAGCCGCAGCCTGTATTTGGTGATAGGAACCTTGTCTTTCCAGCGATGTGTGAGATAAGTGCATGTAATTTGTGCGCAGGAGTCATAGACCCAGAGTAGTTACTTTCAGAGATTTCACTTGTTATTAGGGTTAAAAGATTTAAACGTCTGCACACGACTAGTATTTGCTCTGGGCTACATGAAAAGATGATTATAGTATGGCAGTATTTGTTTTTATTTCTACAAAACGGTAACTACGGACTCTCATACACATGCATAAATTTCTCCCTTTCCATGATTTTGTGGCGGGTTTAAGAGGGTCCAGGAAGAAGTGGCCAAATCCACAGACTTTCCTAAGCTTTCTGCACTTGTAACTATTATAGAATTGTGCGTGTATCGGACAGAGAAGCCAGCTCATGGGAAGGATAAGGCAAGCGAGGGCAACTTTTTGCCTGTTGCAATTTCCCGGAGCCTGCATTGCTGGGAGTTTCTGCTTAGGGTGAACGAGCAACTGAGTAAGTGAAGAGGAGAGGTCAGCGCCTTTCTCTCAGATTTCGCCTGCCCTTAGCGTCGGGCAACTCCAGCGGAGCACCGCAGCAGGGCTGTGGCCGGGCGGAAGTGACGGCCGTTTCACCTGCTGAGCTGCGAGGGGACAGAGGAGGGCGGCGCGAGGCGGCGAGTGTCCGTTGGGAATTCGCTCGAGAGTCGCTTCTTTTCCTCTGGCCGCCGGCGACTGCTTTCTCCTGCGCTCTCTCTCCCCGCCATGGCATCGCTGCTGCCGCTCTTGTGGGCTGTAACGTTTCTTTGCGCAGGTAAGGCTGGAAGTCAGCGAGGAAGAGCAGAAGACCCTCCCCGCCATCCCTCCGTTTGCCCACCCCAACCGCCTTTGTGCCCCTTCTTCTCCCGCCGCTCCCAATCGCCCAGCGTTTCTTTCGCGAAACACTCTCCAGGGAGATGGGAAAACAAAAACTCTGACTTCAAGGGATTGGAGCTTGGATGGATCGCGTTGCGAAATGACTCTGTGGCTCCTGTATTGTTGAGGCTTCTCAGGAGGGATCGGTTGTGAAAGGGCTCCGAAGAGGGAGAGGGAGAGAAAAGAAACGCGCCTTTTTTTTTTTTTGCCTACTGGTAAGGTGTTGTTTTTTTTAAGCTTCTTAGCGGTTCTCTTCCCCAAGTTCTTTTTAAAAAACACCAGTATGTCGGCCTCTTTCTTTTGGTGAAATCTTACCCTCTGGGGGGAGGGGCGAGCTGGAGGTATCAGGATTTCACTCTCTGATGATTCACCGGAGGCATTGTTGTGAGCTCTGGACTCGCGTAACTACTACTCTTCCCTACGCCCAGTTGCAAAGTCCTTCGCTCTCGAAAGTAGTGAGCCAGGCGAAAAATTGAATTGAAAAATGTAGGAGCAAAACATGTTTTTAAGAGAGGCGCTTACAACTATAGTTCTTGTTTTATTTTGTTTTTAAAGTTTCACAAGTTTTACACCCACAGGATCTTTACTCCATAAGTCCGGATGATTTGAGGCAGGTGCTGCCAGAATTATTTCCAAATAAGCTGCCCTTGTGTAGTTTTGTTAGTAACCCTTGGAAAAGCTTCCGAAACTAAATGAAGGAAACAAAAGCTTTTCTAATAGTCTCTTTCTGATCAGAACTTGGCCTTATTTTGCTTCAACGCGACAAGGCTTCACTCATTACCTTTGCAAAAGTGCGAAAAGAACATTTAAGGGTACCAGTTGCCTCCCAATTTAGGACTCGTTCTTAGCTTTTTTAACACTAACTTTCGTAGCTTTTCTAAATGAAGAATGGACCAGTTATTAGAAATAGAATAAACATCACACATTTCAGGCCAACCTGTACTTAGGGCTTCTAATTGACAAGTACAGGGATGTAGAATTGCAAAGAGTGTCTTATTATGGAGATTCTCCATCATCCTAGTCATGGGCTGTCCCAAAGCTGAAGAAGTGTCTTGGATGAGAAGCGAAAGGTTTTCAAAGAAAAACAAAGTCCAGTTGCCTCTTAAAAAGCACCTTTGGGACAGTTGCAAAGATTGTTATTTAAAAATTTAGTCTTTTATATCTTTAACACTAGGCACTAAAGATACAGCCTCAAGAAGCTTTTATAGGACATATTTTTTACACATATTTTGGTAATATGCCTTCCAGAAAAAAATGTTAGAATCCAAATAACTATATAAAATACGTTTTAATTCTGTTTGGAAGTATTATTCCTTAAAATGCATTTGAAATGCTTATAGTTTTTAATTATACCCATTTTAGGTATACTTAGTTAGAAATCATGCTGCAGACTATATTCAGAACTTTATGATTTGACAGATTTACCCTTACCTGCCATTTTAGACCCACATTGGGAGGAATAAAATTAAAGTGATAACCTAAATCAAAATTAGTAAGTCTCCTTATTCGAATATGTGATCTTGTACAGTAACAACTAGAAGTACAGGTAAAACAAGAAGACATTTGCTTAAACATTATGCTAGTTCCTAAAAGTTTTATGTAGAAGTATTAAGCTTACGATATGCAAATACTTTAGTTATTTAGAACATATCTTCAGGTGTTCTCCAACACAACTTTTTAAAAATTAAATTTGTATGTCATCCAACTCCAGAGACAGACTCTGGGTGGGCTACAATTTTTTTACAAATACACAGATCTTTATGAAGGTTTCTCTTCATAAAGTTGAGTGATAATAGGATTTAAATCATTTAATGCTAGGAAACTGCTGTCTTGCTATAATTATTTCCTGTGTTCAAAATGTAACTCAAACTGCACACAGAATTCAATTTATACCAACACCTGTGAGGTTAAAAGCTAGGGAAACTAAAAGCTTTTCAGCATTTTCCAGCTCTTTGTTTCCTGTCCAGATATCTTATGCCACTGTTGATGTCATAGTTTTGCAACATTATTCATAGGATAAAAATTCTTTTGGGTCATCAAGTAATATTTTGTGTGTATATCAATATCTGTATATCATGTTCACTTTAAATACAAACTACTGAAATAGGAAATTCAAACAGCATTTCCTCAGATGTTAATGAACTAATTATTCACAAAAAAGTATGCAAAAGCATTAACAATTTTAAAATACAAAATTTTGCCTTTTAACAATAACTATAAAATAATTCTGAACATCCTATAGAACCTAAGCAGGAAATTTAAGCAATGTAAACTTGGCAGAACTACATATTTAAACAGTAGATGGGTCCTGTAGACATGATCCTGACTATCTACCTTTTGCTTGCCACCCAGTTGCAAATTTCCAAAACTGAAACATCTGCAAATGCTCACTTTTATAACTTGTAATCCTGCATGTTCAAAAGTTTTGTTTTAATAACTTCAGGCTGGAATTATATTTGGTTAATAAGTACCATTTTTTAAACTCAATTTAAGGGTTTCAAAAATATTCAAAAATAAAAATTGTCCTCAACTAACTACCACAGTTGGGACTGGAATTTCCACCATAAATCATTGTAGTCATAAGTTGAATCAGACTTGATTTTAAAACAGTGTTTACAATTGTCATTAAGTGAATCATGACAGTTGTTAAGCGAATCCAGGTTTTTGAATGGGTTTCCTTTTTTGCTGTAAATCAGCAAAAAAAGGTCACAAATCATGATCACATAACTGCAGGATCCTGCAACAGGTTGTAAATGTGAGTTCATGCTCACATTGTGTCAAGTAAAAAGGACATCTTTTTTGGTGTTTGTTCTAGAACACAGGTGTCAAACTTGCCGTCACATGACATGGGCATGGATGTGGAGCTGGGGTGGCCATGGCCTGCATGTGACACATCTGGCCTGTGGGCTGCTAGTTTGACATCCCTGTTCTATAATGAATTGTCATTCTTCATTGAACCAGTCAACTTCAGCTTTTTTGGCATCAGTGATGGGGGCATAGACCTGATTTATTGTGATGTTGAATCATTTGCCTTGGATTCAAACCAAGATCATTCAATCATTTTTGAGATTGTATCCCAGCACTGCTTTTCCTACTTGAGTTGACTATGACTATCCATTTCTTCTATGGGATTCTTGCCTATAGTAATAGATCTACTGGTTGTTAGAATTAAATTTGTCCATTCCATCTACCGTGTTCCCCACAAAATAAGGCTGGGCCTTATTTTTTTTGAGTCCTGAAAAAACGGCTAGGACGTCTTTTCGGGGGTGAATTAATTTCTCCCCCCCCCCCAACGCACCAGCGCCGTTTCCAACAACAGCGTCTGAGTCGCTCCTGCTTTTCCCCGGCCCTGTAACAACAGGAAATAAACGATTTTGAGGTACCTGGGAGTGCTGCGTGCTGCGTTTTGGTTTAATCCTGAGCAGCTGGATGGGTGTGAGAAGAGCTGAGGGAGTGTCTCTGCTGCTGCTACCCTTGGTGCTCCAGCCTCAGGCTCTGCAAGTTTGCAAAAGTCACAGTGCGCAGCCCGTTCCTGCATTCCAAGCTCCCAGGCCGAGCTGCAGCTGTCCCTCTTGCTAGCGCTGTCTCCAATAACAGCGGCAGCAGCTGCGGCAACCGTGGAAGCGTTTTAGCTGCTTCTCGGGTGGGGGAGCCCCCTCCGTAACTTCCATGGTTCCCGCTGCTGCTGCCACTGTTATTGGAGACTGCGCTGGCGAGAGAGGGACAGCTGCAGCTCGGCCTGGGTGTGCTTGGAATGCAGGAACAGGCTGCGCACTGGGACTTTTGCAAACTTGCAGAGCCCGAGGCTGGAGCACCAAGGGTAGCAGCAGCAGAGACGCTCCCTCAGCTCTTCTCACGTCCACCCAGTCTCTCGGGATTAAACCAAAATGCAGCGCGCGGGGCTCCCAGGTACCGCAATTTTTTTTTCCCCTGTTGTTACGGGAACAGGGGAAAAGCAGGAGCGACTCAGACACTGTTGTTGGAGATGGCACTGGCAAGAGAGGCGCCAGCACCGGTGGGAAGCTACGAAGGCCTGAGAAGTGGCTGAAATGCTGCCGGACATCCATGCCAACGCTGCCCGCCTGCTGACCCGGGTAAGGGAGGGTTAAGGGAGCCTTCCGTGCTCCACCATGGTGTTAGGAGCGGCTGATAGTGAGGCCTAGCTGCCCGCGGGGCGCTCCTAATGGCAAGTTTCCCCCCACCTCCCCCCCCCAATTTCGCATGTTTTAAACTAGGCCTAAATTTGGGGGGGCGGGCTTAATTTCATTTTATGCCTAGAAAACATGCTGGGTCTTCCTATTGGAGGGGCATATTGTTGGAGAAACATGGTAGGTAGTTCATTGATTCCCAAGATGTTAATGTTCAATCTTGCCATCTCATCTTTGATGTCATCTTTGATGACATTAATTTATCTTGATTAATTGATCTTACATTCCAGGTTCCTATGCAATATTGTTCTATACAACATTGGACTTTCCTTTCACCACCAGACACATCCACAACTGAGCATCTTTTCAGTTTTGGCCCAGCCACTTTTATGAAGCTACTTCTAATTGTCCACTGCTGTTCCTCAGTAGTGTATTGAACACCTTCCAACTTAAAGTTCTCATCTTCCAATGTCATTTTAGACTTTTCATAAGTACAGCTGATATGCTATATTAAAGGTGGAAAAAAATCAGAAGTGATTTAATTTTGTCTGATTTTTTCACATCTCAAAAAACTAGCATTTTAATAGAGGTGTGTAAATTTTCTATATCCACTGAAACCCCAAGAGTACTGGGATAATAGGCTTGTAAGGACAAGCATCAGCTAGCAACTAGACTGCTGTATTTTAGAGTAGATATACTATTCCTCCCATTCTAAAACTGTTCTATCCATGACTTTCATCTGCCCTGCCCTTCCTGTTAGGCCACATCCAGAAAGCATGGTTAGGAAACTAACCACTGAAACACTTTTATTTGTTTAATTATCATGTGTGAGAATAGTGGGTAATTAAATCCAGACAGGTCTGAAGTGCTATTGGTGTATTGTATAGGAAATGTGATAAAGATTGAAGTTTAGCATTTGGGGGACAGGTTTGTAATCTTTATGAATGGGTTTGTGTAATATATCTGCCTTTTATCAGCTATATCTTATCCTTAGCTAATCATATTTGGGCCAAGCTGTATTTGGATTCTGTTTTGACAGCTGCAACAGGGTTCTATATGGGTTAATAACTTGAATACAGCAGTTAAGTACTGCATAGTGAAACTAAAGAGATTTCATTACGCTTTTATTGAATTGCTAGTTGCTTATCAGACACAATTTATGATATGGATATTCATATCAAAAACACCAACCAGCTTGGGATTTAAATACCTAAGGGATTCTACCTTTATAGTACTATACAAATCTGCAGTGGAAGCACTTTTGAATGCCCCACTAGCAGAAGCCCATTTGGATGACATGTGAAAGAGGGACTTCACCTTTCCTTCTAAATCATGGGTCACAATTCCTCCATGAATTGTTTGGTCTTTACTCTGTCTCTTTTTCAGAAATACGAAAAGAAAATTTCTCTTGCTAGTTTTTTTAGGTGATTTTAATATTTATGACTAATTTCAGTTTGTATTTTGAATTTTTATTGCTTGTTTTTGCTTTTAAATTTTGCCAGTTCCTTTAAACACAGCTAAAGCAGAGGTTAGATGTAATGTTTTGTTTTATCAGGGAAGAGAAGAAAGCACAAAAAATTACAACTCTCAAACATGTATACTAATCACTACCAGAATATGACATTAATGTTATTGTAGAATTAAATTAATATTTAAAACAGTTAACTCAATAATAAAAAAAAGAAATAAAACATCAAAACCATTATGTTTTGTTCAAAAATTTAAATAGTATGTGAATATAAACCTCTGAAACAGTGCATTAAGTTTCTGAAAACACATTTTGTAAAAATAAAATGGAGATATACCACATACCTGAAGGTATGTATTATTAATTTTACCCCAAATAGTTTAAATGAGACCCAATTATCCAGATTATTGTTACAATATTTTGAAAATAAAATGGTTAAATTATTTAATTGCATTTTATATAGAGATATATACAGGGTTAGGATGGATATATATATGTGTGTGTGTGTGTGTGTGTGTGTGTGTGTGTGTTATCGCGGGTATTTACATGTATGGCATTCAGCTTTGTTCGGGTATTTTCCCACGTCATTGTAGTTGTGCTTTTAAAGTTGTAGCAACGTTTCGGCAACTAGAACCCTGATGATGGCAGATGAGATTCTGCCGAAACGTTGCTACAACTTTAAAAGCACAACTACAGTGACATGGGAAAATACCCGAACAAAGCTGAATGCCATACATACATGCATACATACATATAAAAATAAATAAAATTTTCCTGAAAATAAGACCCAGTCTTATATTTTGGGGGCTCCAATTTTGGGGAAACATGATTTCAGGATGATGTGCCCAGCTGGGTGCATGGGAACTGACTGTATCCGGCAGCAGTTGCAGCCTGACGGTCCTTTGGCGCACTGTGGGGCTGCACAGTCCGCACATCACAGGTGAATTAATTCCCTGTTGAAGCAACAGATGAAGACAGAGGCGTGGGGGGGGGGGGGAGGCAGGCGATCCAGACACTCTATGCAGACCGTGGGAAAACCGAGAGGAGACAGAGGTGTGAGGGAGGGAGGCGATGCAGATGCTCTGTGCAGGCCATGGGAAAACAGAGTCAGGCTGGAGCAGGAGGCTCATCTTTGCATGGCAGCACCAGCAGAAGGCAGGCAGAGGCGTGGAGTGGAAGGCAGGCAATCCCAACACACTGAGCGGGCCAAAGGCAAGCCAAGAGACGTGAAGACAAGCCTCCCATGGCTGGCCAGCCACTCCGGCCAACTGACTCTAGGCTTTCCTGCAGGCCATGCGGCTCTTCTGGATTGCCTGCCTTACCCCCTGCACCTCTGCCTCTGTCTGCTGCTGGTGCCACTGCACAGATAAGCCTTCTCTGGCCATTGGCTGCTCCAATCCACCAACTCTTGGCTTTCCCACAGTCCGCATGGTACATCCAGGTCACATGCCTCCCTCACCTCTGGCTCCACCTGCTGCTTTGACAGGTAATCAAGTTGCCTGCGTGGGCTACGGCTCCTGGCGGACACCATTAGCCCCCACACGCTTGCCGTCTCTATGCTGGCCATGCCTATGAAGCCCCTTCAGTAGGGTTTATTTTTGGGCTAGGGTTTATAATTAGGCATGCTTAAAATCAGACCAGGGCTTAGGTTTGGGGTAGGTCCTATTTTTGAGGAAATGGTAATTAGTTTTTAATGTTAATATTTATATTATACTAACAATTTAATAATCTGAGATAAATTTCTTATATTCTGAGCCTAGGACAAGTTACTGGTCCCTGAAAGTGTCTAAAATTTATTTTTTATAATGTAGTACTTTCAAAGGTGTCACTTTATTTCAATAAAGGTTAAAGTGAAAAAGGATCCACAGTCATCAACTAATTATATTCTGGTATTATCAATAAGTGCCTAGAGACACTTGAAAACAGGCGAAGTAAATATTGTTTACCACTGGTATTCCAGAATTGGTTCTCTTTAAGAAGAGTGTTAAATGATCTCATATAAAGAGAACATTCTATTTATTTTAAAGGTCTTTATACTGTATTTGCAAACCACTCAGTATATGGGAAATATTGTAATTGTAAGAAGGAAAAGGATAGAAATGGAATAATGTTGGAAAGGAAGACTCAATTTCTGATTTCTTGTATTGTTGTTACCATAAGCATTTCTTGTAACATCAGTATTAATGTTTATTTTTTTAACATTGAAGTCTATTAGTATTCTCCCCTGTAATGAAAACTAAACTTATTTTTATCTTGGATGGAATTAAATAAAAATGTATAGCTAAAAACAGTCATTATATTTTTATATGTTTGAAAATAGTTTTGCATTAATTTTTTGAACTAGTATAAATTATTATATTAATTGTAAATTTGTAGATGATTATTTCATAGCATTATGGCCAGAGTTTCAGGCTTATCCTCAAAATGTCATTTTGGTATTATTTACTAATACACAACGGTGTATATTTGGCAAATTTTTCACTTCTATCAGAAACAAATGCCATTATAGGTAGTCCTCAACTTACAACAACAGTTGAGTCCAGAATTTTGGTTGCTAAGTGAGTGAGTCCCACCCAGTTTTACAACCTCTTTTTGCCATGCTTGCTGTAGTTGATAAGTAAATCGTGCAGTTGTTAAATCTGGACTCTCCCCTTGACTTTGCTGTTGGAAGCCAGATGGGAAGGTTGCAAATGGTGATGACATGACCCTGAGGTGCTACAACCATTATAAAAACATGCTAGGTGCCAAGCATCCAAATTTTGATCACATAATCATGAGGATGGTACGACAGTTTTAGCAGTAGAAATAGCACCTAGACGTACATACTACTTTATAGTGCTTTACAGCCCTCTCTATATCCACTGTGTATTTCACTCCATAATGCTTAACAGCACTTTGAGTGAATTACAATGTTACACCCAACAATCTAGGTCCTCATTTTATCAATCTCAGAAGCATGGAAGGCTGAGTCAACCTTGAGCCTGTCAGGATGGAACTCCGGGATATGGGCAGAATTAGCATGCAATATTGCATTCTAACCACTTTGCCATCAGGACTCTGTAAGTGTGAGAAATGATTGTAAATCACATCTTTCAGTGCTGTTGTACCTTTGAGTAGTCACTAAATAAATGTCATAGTAAGTTGAGGACTACTTGTACATAGAGGTAAAATGTACTTAATTTATTGAGATTTTTGCTGGTTAAATTTAAAATAAATAATAAAATTTTGGACTTTTATTGATAATATATGTAAAGGAACACAAATAAATGTTGGTGTTTTCCTTAAATGCCTCTGAAATATTTCTCCGATCATTAAACCATATGTTGAAATGTATTATATCTTGAAATTGACTTGCTTGGGTTTCAGAGGGAGCTTGAGGTTTTCCAGGAGGTCTGCTAAACTAACTGAAGCCCTGAACACTATGTGGAAGAAAGGGGCACCTTCGGCTTTTGATCTGATTGCATTTCAGTGAACAGCATAGTATTGTGTTGATTCTCTTCCTTTCTCCGTGGTTGGTTCCAGTCTGTGTTGAGAGGAAGTCCAGCCTATGGCCTCTTTGTGGGATTCCACAGACTGGATTCTTGCTTCCTGTTTAACATCCATGTAAGGTGTTGGGTAAGGTCATCTGACAATTTGGAATAAGGTATCATCAGTGTGCTGATTATACTCAGCTTTATATCTATAGCTCTGACTGTTTCAGTGATTTGCAGGCATCTTGTCTGGTCATATGAGAGTCTGGATGTGTCATAATGGGCTTTGGTTCTGGTGCTGGAAATGATCCACCCTAACCCTCCTTCCTTCTCTACCTCCGCCTCATCCTGGTCCTAATAAGCTTTTCTATAAAAATACATAGTCCTTTTGATCATAATGTGCAAATGATTATAAAGTCAATTGATTCCTCTGGTTATCTAAAAACCAAACACTTGCTATAAAAATGTTTCAATTATACAGATAAGATGTTGTCTTTAACCTTTAAAATATTGAATCTAATATACTTGATTTCATAATACTTTTCCTAGATCTAATTGAAGGTATAACAATAACATCGACAGAATACACGGTTACAAAAGCTCAAGGAGATAAAGTTACACTGCTGTGCACATTTACTCTTGCTACAGGAAATAGTAGAATGGTTGAAATTGAATGGAGTATTTTGGCACCAGAAGGGGAGAAAACAGTAAGTAGAAATTATTGTGTAGATATAATATTCATTTTGAGTTTAGGCTGTGTGCATTGTAAGTTAAATTTTTAATGAGAATACTGTATCCTTCTCTAGGATACTATACTTTGGAGAAGTATATTTAACAGATTACTTATAGCTAAGATGTACAGTGTCTTAAAATGTGTTCTGTTTGACACACAAGTCCTAAAAGTAGGTAAAGAAATTAAACAATTAAACAAGTGAGTCAGAAATATAATAAGCTGACAAGCTTCAAGAGACCCTAGAGTGCCATTGGAAGAAAACAAAAAACGAATTCTAAGCACATGTTAAGGCCACTGTTAAGGTTTACCTTGTGGCAGTAAGAGTGGCGAAGCGTCAATACTTTTCTGCTCTTATTGCATCTATTGGAAAGGGTGGCCCGAAAATCATTCTGCAGCACCATATGGAAGAATTATCTGGGCATCTAGCAGATAAAATCATTTGGATTTGCTCTCAGTTGGATACCAAGCATGATGCAAGTCTTGTGGAGATGCCACCCTGTTGTGCGGATCGGACTTTGATAGTGCATATCCAGAATTACTTTGTTCTTTAAATTATGCAGGACCTCCCATACTCACTGCTGATTATCTTTCCATTGATTAAAACATGACATTTCTCCTTTAAATGAACTGATAATCCTAGATATTCACATACTTTTGTTACACAGAAATATGTAGCTTTGGACCATTTTCTTCAGTAATTAATTAACAAGTATGTTTTTGACGGCACCCTTCATCTAATTTTAGAACTTGTGTATGTTTTATGCCATATTTATGCAGATATGAGAAATTTAAAAGAGTTCACAAACTTTTAAACACCACTGTAGCTTAATGAACCTTTCCCCCCCCCATTCAGGTTATCATATATAATGATGGCAATGTTTATGATACATATGATGTGGAGGGACGAGTACAATTTGCTAAACAAAATCCAGCATCTGGAAATGCAAGCATTGATATCTTAAATTTAAAAGCAGAAGATACTGGCAAATACCAATGTAAAGTAAAGAAACTTCCTAGTGTTAAAACTCATAGAGTCCACTTGACAGTACTTGGTAAGGTATTTATGATTTGCCTTTTTTGTATAGCTTTGTATGAGGTAAATATGAATATTCAATACATAGGAAGTACAGTATAATGTAAAAAATATAATGCACTGTTGGATACTAAGCAATAATTTGGGTAGTTTTCTTGTAAAATTAGCATCTTGTTGTTGTTTTTTTAATTCTCATAAATTTCAATATGTTACCTCTTTAGATTTACATCTTTTGAATTATATTCCCATGACCTTGGGAAATTAAAACTAAGAAAAATGAAGCATGATGATACATATGCAATACAAATGATATGTGAATTATACTTTTGTTGTTACATAATATAAAATTATGATTGTGAAAGGGCATCTATCATACTGCTCATTCAACAATATTTAACTTTCTAGTAAAATTCTCTAGATTATGTATACATAATACAAACATAACAGTTATGCATATCCCAGCCTTTCCTAGAAAGCAACTCTATTACTAAATTATGCTGCTTGAAATTTCTGTGTTTTGATTTTAGTAGAAATATAGGTTGAACTACTAAGATGAAACTATATTTTTAACTTTCAATTTTCCCTCTACAAATTTTGTAATGTTTCTTCAAATTCTAGATTTTGTAACTAAGTGATTTATTTGGGAACATACATGTTTCAGAATAAAAGCACTAAGTTGAGGCAGTTAAAAATAAACTCTCAGAGGAGAACCAGCACATAGAACTAAAAAGAGAGATTGAGGGATTAATATGTTTCAATGTGTAACTTGTTGGTCTTCCACTTCAATTGTCATTCATTATTCTAATATATTTATTATTTCATGCACTTACTCTAGGAGTTCAAATTGGCATACAAAGTAGATTCTTTAATTTTATCGTAGAAAAGCTCTGTTGGGGTAGAATAACCTAAGATTGTGGTTCTCAACCTGTGGACCGCGGACCCTAGGGGACTGTGATGTCACAGGGGGTCTGTGAAGTCTTGGTGCAGTCTACTGCTTTAAACCTTCAGTTAAGTCTTGGTGGTCTGTGGCCATAAAAGCTATTTAAAGGGAGTCCATGGTGAAGAAAAGGTTGAGAACTACTGACCAGAGAATAACTGGTCCGAAGTCAGCGAGTTGGCTTCCGTGGCTATGGAAGTTTAAATCTTGATTTCATTTAACCTAAGCCAATACTCACTGGTTCTGACATACTATCATCATGGTAATTGATATAATTAGAAATTATATATCTATAACACATACAATTTACTATGATATTGCAGATCAAAGGTTTGTAGAATAGTAGCTTGGAATGGTTAGCTTTTACAATCTGAAGTGAAGCAGGTATTTCATCAGGATTATAGGTGGTTATCTCCTAAAATTTGAAACTTTTCCCTGACTCACAGGTTAGCATTACAGTCCAGGAAAATACATGCTTGAGCTAAGGAGACACTTACAGGATTGTGAATCTTATTGTGAACCGAGAAAAGGATATTGTTTTAGGTTAATATGCAAATATGTGATGTAGTTCTGGATTTGGTGTCATACTGTTGCTAGGGTAAATCACTACCGTTTAATATCCTGCTAAAATCTCCTAGGTATAGAAGAAAATTCCAATTCATTTAATCATAATTAAAACTTATATTAGATTCTTTATTTGTTAGAAAAACCCATGAAGACTAAATGCTACATTGAAGGATCTCAGGAGATTGGAAGTGATCTTACTCTGAAATGTAAATCCCAAGAAGGTTCTTCCATCATAGTTTACTCCTGGAAAAAAACTACTGGTTCACAAGAACTTCCAGCAACAGCATTACCAAGTATGCTTTCATGTTATTAATATATTTTTCATAGACAGGGCTATTGTTTTACTCTCTTTAAATGCTAAATTATTTTTAGATATAACTTTTGACATATAACAAAAATCATTTTGTTTAATTTATGTTGTCATGAGGTATTTTATTTACCATGTAATTGTCCAAAATCTTTCTCAGTGGTATATCATCAAAATTTGAGTTCTTAAAGCTAGTTGAAAAGGAAAAATAGACAAAAATATAGCTGATGAAAACAGAGATATGGCATTGTTCTCTACTGTTTACTGTTGCCCATATTCTTTTGGAAGGATTAATGCAGAAAGGTTCAGGATGGAATATTTGTTTTGTTCCTAAATGGCAAATGCTTAATTAAAAATTAAGGTGCACGAATAAAACATTTGGTAATAGAAAGGGAGCATGAGCAAAATGTACATACAGTATTACTACCCCAAATATATACAATATAAATTTGGCTATTCCCTAATGAGAGTAAGTACAGAAAAGTTATAAGAAATACTAAGGAATTCTGGACTAGTTTTGAAGCCAGCCAAAAACACCAGTTTGGAATCTGCCGGCTTTAATAAGTTGCTTTGCTTTAGGTCCTTGATTCAGTGAATTTGCACACCCATGTGCAAGAATATTTATATATATATTTAATTTTAAGTGGAGATAATTCTGTAAGACTCTTGGGGTAATTATAATATTTCATGAAGTCTTCTTGGTAGCTGATAGCACTTATCTAATGTAGACTTACCTCAGAATGGTAAGCAGGTTTCGGCAGGGAGGAGTAGCCTTGCAAAAAACATTGCTCTAAAATCTCAAAGTAGTATGTTGAACAAACTTCTCATGTATTATGAATTATCTTATTTGAAGAATTCACACATCATTAATAATTTTGTAATGTGATAACACTCATTTAGTTTCTTTATCAGAAAACATCTCTCCCTTAAAATGTATATGATTTGTGATTTGTAACTACTCTGATGACAGGAACAGTGTTCTTCTGTAGAAGTACTTATATGCATAGGCAGTAGGAGAAGAGCTTCTACCTACCCTCATTTTCAAACTAATTCTAATACTCTGTATTAGCTATAGATTTACATCAATAAAATATGCTATATTTAAGTAATAAAGGACATTACATGAAATAACATGTTAAATTATTGTTTTTTATTCTATAGATTGTTGCAAAAATTCTAACAAATACCTTAAATATTTACAGTTGAAAATACAGGCGACTTATTTGTGAAAAATGCCTCTCAGACTTATTCTGGTACTTACACGTGTTTGGCTTACAATAAAGTTGGCAGAGATGAATGTTCTGTCATACTGACTATTACACCCCGTAAGTATTAGTCAACAGGCAAGTGAAGTAATAAAAATAGACATTAGGTAAATAGTTGTCATTAAACTGCAAAATTAATTTCTGCTACCTGTTTTTTTTTTTTTTAGCTATCGATAGAGCTGGTACTATTGCTGGAGCAGTTATAGGAACTCTTCTGGCACTCAGCTTAATGGCTTTGTTCATTTTCTGTTGCTATAAGAAACAAAGAGACACAAAATATGAAAAAGAAGTACATCATGATATCAGGTGCGGCATTTTGATTAATTGAGTATTTCAAAACATTATTTCTAAAAACATTAACTCCTAGAAATATTGATTTACCTGCTTTTAGCCACAAAAATATCAGCTAAATAACAGTGGAAGTGTCTGGATAAACTTTTGCTTGAAAAATGGTTTCATATGATTTGGTTTGTTGTTATTACACAAAATTCACAAATTTATAAAACAAAGTGGGAAAATATTGGAATGGACCTAGCAAGATTTTATTTTATAAATGACAACATAAATATTAGAATGTGTGAAAAATTAAATGTGATTAAGAAGGTAGAAACTATTGAGTGTAATTCAATATAAAGAAAGAGCAATAATGGAAATATTAAATATTCTAAAACTAAACAAAACCTAAAAGAACATTTAATCAACCAAAAAGGTTGGCACCTTTTAGATGCAACAGTCAACAGATGATTTTATTTGCTTTGGTAAAATGGTATCAGTCAGAAAACCTAATAAGCACACTTTGGCTTTATGTGCTAATAGAACACTGAATAGATACTGATATTTGCCATAGCATTGAAAAGCAGTTCTTCAAAGCCATTTTGTTAGCTAAAATAACAAAAGTATTAAATTGTTATATTTCATACAGCAAGAAAATGCAATGATGAATGTATAATTTTGTATATAAATATTAGCATTTTAAATATTAAAATATAACAACATACTGTGATCTATATTAGTGTATCAATTCTTTCCTTTCTTCAAGAAATTATTATTTTTTCTTTCTATTTCCTGTCCTTGAATTTTTTTTCTTTTGATAGTGAAACTGAAACTTGGGAGACACTAATTAATTGTCTTAAAGGATGCACCGTGCCACTCAGAGTCAGGCTGCACCGTGCCACTCAGAGTCAGGCTGATTGGCATATAAATTAAACTAATTAATTATTAGTAAATAAATAAAATGCATCTTAAATCACCATGCATTTATTTATTTACATTTATTTAGGCTCGGAATGTAGCTTAGAATAAATAAATAGAATAAAAATAGTTTATGTTACATAGATTTATTTGACAAAAATATTCTAAAAAATTAAGGATAGAAGAATAAATCAGTGGCTGGGGAATTATGGAAGTTAAATTTCACTCATCTTAAGGTTGCCAAGTTTTAGAAACACTGTGATACAGAAAACACGTATTTTGCTGTTATGATAGTGTTAGTACCCTTTGTTAAATAAAAAGTATTGATGGGTTTTTAGTGTTTCTAAAGATTCTTAAGTAAATTCTTAAATATGTTTCATTTCAGAGAGGATGTCCCTCCTCCAAAGAGCCGTGCCTCAACAGCGCGCAGCTATATAGGGAGTAATCGGTCATCTTTGGGCTCAATGTCTCCATCTAATATGGATGGTTTTACCAAAACTCAGTACAATAAAGTGCCAAGTGAAGAACGTACACCCTCTCAAGATCAGTACTTTGATCCACCAAAGGTAGCTGCACCTAATCTAAGTAGAATGGGAGCTATTCCTGTGATGATACCAGCACAAAGCAAAGATGGTTCCATAGTATAACATGACATTAATTTGAAGTTTCATCAGTTCATTACCACATTGATGATTAGTTTGTACCAGATCTACATGTACAATTGAGCATCAAGATATGTGCTTAGCTCAACTTATTTTTATTAAGTTTGACTGCTTTTATTGAAAAAAGTTGACAGTGAAAAAATGTTATCCACCTTTGTAGGGATTTCTAAATAAATATTAAAATATGAATTATTGATCTATTAGTTATAGTAGATTGTATGACATGAAGCATTTTGTATTTACATTGTTACAGATACCTGTTTATATGAGAACTGTTACAATGATAGTTTTTCTGTTCACAAATCTGAAAATAGAGACTTGCATTCTTGTAATATTGATTCTGGAATACTCTTCTCAAAAACTTAGAATATTTAAAATGCATTATTAGATATAGTAATGCACATGTTTACCATATTTACCAATTTCTGTCCTCTCACACACTCTCTCTCTCGCTCGCTCTTGCTCTCTCCAGTCTTACAGGATATTGCTTGTTATATGTGGATAAACTACTCCTTTCTAGATATGTAATATTGAATGGATTTAGTCAGCATACTAACTACAAACAGTATTTGATAGTGAAATTAAACCTGAATTCAATCATTAATGATATTGTACTTGCCATTTTGAAACTCCTTGTTTTTTATAAAGATTTGTGCAACTTATGGGACCAGAATACTTCAATTTAATTTATAAAATATACTGGCACAATTACATTTTTGTAGTAAAGTTTTCTGTAACCCAAGAACTGGTGAGGGCTTCCCCACTATATTAATATCTTCAGAGTTATCAATTAGTACTTTTTTATTAACTCATCCTATTTATATTGCTCCATTGATTTTATTACCAATTAAAAAAATTGGAATACCAAAAAGTGAATATCAGCTTAAGCTGGTAGTTTATATATATATATGTGGAAAGTTATACATTCTTATTAGAAAATTGCTCCCAATGAATTATAAAGTTTGCTTCTGTCTTTCTTTTTCCCATTCATCATGTCCAATTCTTGGAGACTGCCTGAACAAGCCCCTGCAGTTTTCTTGACAAGGTTTTTCAGAAAGCCGTTGCCTCCTTCGTAGGGCTGAGAGAATATGACTAGCCCAAGTTCCCCAGTTCGCTTTGTGCCTAAGGTGGGACTAGAACTCCCTGTCTCTCAGTTTCTAGCCTGATGCCTTAACCACTTCAACAAATTGGCTCTTATGCTTTTTTTTACACATGAATAATTTCAAAAATGTACTGCAACTTTAAATATTTACACTTGATAACTTAATTTTTTTTGAAATTGTGGTTCTTGTATATATGAATCATTAAAAAAATAAGATACCAAGAATTAATATTTAAACTTCTCTTGTAGTAACCCAAATTAGTATATAGATGTTTCTTGTCTCACAATCATAGTTGTGACCAGAATTTCAGTTGCCAAGTAATGCAGTTGTAAAGCGATATATCATGTGATCACGTCACTTAGCAATCTCAGCACTCCTGAATTATGGATTGTTAAGCAGAGAGAGTGTCTCACATACCACAAAGAAAGGAAATCTGGTGCAGGCTGCATGCAAGCTGGGGAGAGCTGTAGTGTGACACAATAGTGCTGCACCCTGAGAAGCCTCAGCTATCTCACCAGGCCAAGCAGAGCTTCATGACTGCAGGGCCATACATCTCTCCCCATCTTCCTATTTCCTCATGATCTATGCCCTTTTGGCCACCCCGCAAAGCAGCACTAGTCAGCCATTCCTTCTCCATTCTTGCAAGACCTGAGGAAGACTAGAAGATTTTTGAAGAGTAATTAGAATTGAATATATGGCCTGGAGAAGGAATGGCATGCATGCTTTGGAGAATGAGGGGTCTGAAGCACCACAAGAATGGGACTTTTGCCATTCTCCAAATTGTGCATCCATTTTTATGAAACCTGGGGAAGATAAGAAAGTTCTGGGGCTGAAGTAGAAGCTTGGGGCGGCGGGGGGGGGGGCGTGTTAGCAGATTGAGACTGCGGAAAGTCATAGGCCTCTACTTTAGCCCAACCCTGCCATTGTGCAGGATGCTCAAAAAGTAATAGATTGAATAGACGGGGGGAAATTGCCAAGACCCAGAATTTTAATCTATGATTGCAGGAGTGCTGCAGTGAGCTTAAACTCATGGTCTTAAACTCATTTTTTTTCAGGACCATAATAATTGGTCATAAATCAAGAACCACCATAATATGTTACTTTTAATTGTAGTAAAGTGTTTCTGTGTTACCTAATTTTAATTTAAGAATTTTTATTTCTAAATGTAATGCAACATAGTACAAATAACTTTGATATTTATTAAGTGGACCTGATCTGATAATATGATATATTGAATTAGATAATAAACAATTTTTGAAGTGCACACACTTTTATTACTAAATTTAGATACTGGAGAGAAATATTAGTCTTCACATATTGAAGTCTTTTAGGTTTCTTGATACTGTTAGATATAAATCCTTATGTCTGCCTTAATTATGTGTTCAATAAACTTTATATTTGATTGTATGTCAGATTTCTTCTATAAAATTTCTGTCTGCACCATGAAAAACAGTTTTTGAAAAAATACTGCAATTTTCTTTATTGGTTAATATTTTCTGCCAAATGCTGGTTAAGTCACTGCATAATTTTGTATTTCAGACTTTCTGCTTTTACTATTTTTATAATTCCTTCATGGAGTTTGATCTTATTCATACAACTTCCACTGCACAAGACTACTGAATTGTTACAATAACCTGTCTTCTTGCTTTTTAAAATAGAGATAATAATAAGACTCAAATGTTCAATAAGAAGGCAGATTCCTCTTAAAATTACTTTGGATTAAATCTGACTATCAGTCTAGTCAAATTTGTGAGTTTTTAAATTATGTTTGCACATTAATGTTTTTAAAAAGATGTCACCATTGTAATAACAAAGGAGTTCTTTGTATGTGTTCACATGCTTTCAGAAAAAAAAATCAAAGGATTTGGAAATGCATTATGAATGTATGGTTTGGTATACATTACTCTGAAGTACAACACTTAAGAATTTGACTACATTGTTTAAATAATAGTTAGGTTTGAACAGTTCTGTCATTCTGTTGTCCTAGTACAGGGGTGTCAAACTCATGTCGTCACAGTGGCATCATAGGACATATTGGGACTTTTCCCCCCTTTGCTAAACTGGACATAGGCATGGCCAGCATGTGACCCATCCAGCCCCGGGCTGGGAGTTTGACCTAGTAGATTATTTCAGTGTGTGTACTTAATAGTAGAAACAGGCAAAATGCAAAATGCTATTTGAAGTTTGAAGAATTCTGGAACATTTAATTTTATCATTGCTCATTCTCATGAAAATAATAAATGAATAGTAAAAAGATACAGTGGCTTATCAGCAAAATGTGATTTCTACATATTTAAATGTAGGATAGTCTTCTTGTGGTCTGCCGGCCGCCAGTGGAGCTGGCAACAGAGACAGACAGTGAGGAGGTTGGGGAGGAGCATGGACCAGACCTGGAGGCTGAGGAAGGCTCGGACAAGGGCTCTGCATCAGAGGCAGAGATGAGGCCAGGGCAGTCTGGCAGTTATTAGCTGCCTTTGGAGTAGGACAGCAGTGAGGTGGGGAGCAGCTGGAGACGGTTCCCAGACTGTGCTGCCAAAAGAAAAGAGCAATTACGAATTAAGGGTCGACATGGGAGTAAAGCCACAGATGGATGGTGAATGGCCCCTCCCATAGGGATTAAAAGGGGAGTGGGCTTTTGTTCATTGCAACAGTGTGAAGATCTGTCTGTGCATATCAGATACTCTGCCAAGTCCTTCCTTGTCAGAACTGCAATAGTTAGAAAATATTTACTTGGCAGCTCTCCAAGATAGATAAGGTCTCTGCTCCTAATTGCACCCTTGAAAGACTGTTTGCCAGGTCTTTGGCTGAACGTGAATGCAAGAAATTCACTTTCATTTAATAAAGGGGTTTTGCCGGGACAAAGAGTCTGCTTAGTGCTTTTTGGGGAAGCCTAGGTCAGAACAAGTCTGTTGTATTTGTATATATAGTAGGAATTGATTTGAGTTTTCTAATACTTCTATTCTATACTTCTAGAATGTATTGAAAGTAATTTACATTTGATAAAATCTGATATTTTGTAAATGATTGCTTTTCACGAGGCTGTGTTTCAATTGTGATGTATCAAGGCTCAAGAAAAAATAATCTATTTTACATATAGTAATAAAAGGCATACAACCTGGGATGATGCATATTAAGGCAATTTGACCTTTATCTCCCACAAGCTGTTGGTAGGAAAAGAGATCAGTTGATTATTACACACACTACCCTTATGAGCCGTTTCAGTAGCTATGTAGAGGTGCAACTATTGCCAATCTTTATGTTAAAATGTATTTTGCCTTTTTAAAAATCACTTTTTAACAAATGAAACAAAAAAAACTTTTTTTTGAAATTATTCTGTTTTCTCTGCTCATCCAAAGTATGGTTTATGTCATGTTATGTTAAAAGGAATATATGTCAGAGTCTTACTATACAGTATGTTGTTTCAATTGCAGGACTCTGTAAAGTAATGTATATTAAGTTTTATTTTTAGGATTACCAGATGTGGAATTATGTAAGCATTCATTAATATAAATTATTTTAAAAATTATTCAATTTCATGATTGTTATATCTTCACCATAGATAGTTGTGCCCCAAATGTTACTTTCTCCTTTACTGAAGACCATTATAATACTTTCTTGTATAGCTCTTTGTAGTTTCTTACATTTAGAGGCTTTTTGGAGTAAAACTAGCTTAAAAATTTTTTTCACAATTAGTTTAGAAATATTTGGAAAATGAAGAGACAAGATATATAAATATTCATTTTGGCATCATCTGAAAACAGGAATTCCACACAATTATTATCACAATATAGACACTTGTGCAAAGTTCATCATAAATTTAGAGAACTAATGGATTTAGAATCTCCGTCATACCTCTGAACCCAATTTCAACATAGTTTTATGCTTGAATATGTTTAAATGTGAGTTAGAATATGCAAAGATAAAATGGCTTCTCTTGGGCAAAAGCTATAAATTGTTTTACATCTAAGCAATTTTATATTAATAAGGTCTCATTAACACATAATTACTTTTATCTTAAATTCCTGGATTGGATTCAAAAAGATATGAGTGAGCAATTAGCTTATTTAGCAGTATTATATAAACTATTACATCAGCACTAATGGAAAACTTTGCCCATAATGGATATAGTTATATCATTGTGAATATAGCGACTGTTATCTGTATAGACTGCATTTTGTACTTTAAGTGAGCGCAAATGCATTTTTTTCTTGAAAAACCATAGTTTCCCCTTTAATATTCCAACCATTGTTACTCTAATAATCTAGTGCAGGTATTATTTTGGGATGATTTGGGACTGAAGCCATGGTAAATTTTCTACAAATTGATTACAATAACAGTTCGTTAACAGGGCTTTGGAATTTTGTCTTTTATTACAATTAATAATTCTTACTACATTTATACTTTTATATAATATGTTTATTATTTTTCCTAACGGCTTTGTTGTTAATAAAATAGTATGTATATGACAGGCTCACAATTTGAAAACAGTTTTAATAGTTTAAAATTCTTTTCGCCTATTTTGCAAGGGGTAGGAAATTAACACTGTTTTATTCTGAAATAATAGAAAATATTTTAGCTCGGGTTTTAGATTTTGGCAGTAGTTTGGTCTCCAAGCTTGTTTCAATTTAGTTTCTGACTGTTTCATTACTATACTAGGTAACATCAGCAGCAGAACTGTCTTGTCCTATTCTCCTTAGCTTATAAATGTCTTGTGTGCCAGTATAGTCAGTTGGTTGTTCGGCTGGTTGTTCATTTGGAGCTATATTTAAATTCTGAACAGCTGATTAGTCTTTTGTTGATTGGTTGTTTAAATGGTCTGCTTCTTATATATTCATATATTGGATCTAGGTCAATATGTTTGTTAATTGCTCCTTTGGTAGAATACCAGGCCTCAACAAATTCACATGCATGCCAGGTGCTAGCATGTTGTACTTTATCAGTCAGCATTCAGCTAGGAAAGATGTGTATATATGTGTTAGAGTTTTTTTTCCTTTTATTTTAAGGCAATTTTTTAATGTCTTGAGATTTTTATTTTTGTTTCTTTTAAATATTTTGTCATTTTGTATTTTAACACTTTTTGAATAAAATAGTATATAAAAACAATGCTATAGGAAAAGAAATTACCAGTTTAATTAATTTCTCAGTTTTGGGAACTGTTTTTGGCCAATTTTCTTAACTATTTACCACCAGACCACTGTTATTTCAGGCATGGAAATTGTGCACTATTCTGTAAAATATGAATTGGATTAATGAATTTGACTTAAAATCAAATTAAATGTCCAATATAAGAGCTGAGATGAAAAAAAGAACATTTGTATTTAATCACAAATTAGTTTAAATATTCTATATAGAAGCAGTGAAACCCTATTGTATAATTAATCTTTTAAACAAATTGAACTAGTTTCATTAGTTGGGGAGTTTCTTCATTTAACAATCTGATTTAAAATATCTAGCAATAATATACAGCTTGAAAGTTTGGAATAATTGTTTATATTTTAAAATGCATTTATTCATTATTAATGTTTTCTCTGTTGTAGTATGAAAACGCATGCAGGATGGGTGACATATCAGTGGTATAAAGTTGAAGAAACATCATATATCATGAATTTTACATTATGAAGGAAATGAAGTACTCTGTTTTATCATTCTGCTTTAATATCTGCAGACAATGGTAGAGTAAATCTCTATAGGTAATATTTGCCTCTCAAATATTTAAAATATACTGCTTGAAAATTTTATAAGAGACCCAGACATGAAAAATATGAAAAGAGTAATAATTGATTGAAGATCATGCAACTATCGAATGGAGCAATTTAGGCCAGCAAACCTTCTGCTTAGTGCATTAATCCAAACTAAAGCATCCCTGACAGGTGGCTGCCTGCTTTCTTGGGACAAAATCAATGGCTGGATATGTATGATTGGTTTCATTGTTGAACTGTTCTTATAGTCAGCTGATTTAACATGTAATGGAGATAAGTAGTACAGTTTTGGTTCAAGTACTTAATTGAGTAAAATATGTATTTTCTAATGTACTTTGGAGACAATCAGTATGATTTAACACTCTGCCTTTTAGATTATATTTTTATGCTTTTTTAATTGTGTGGATCTGATTTTAAGGGTCTTATTTTTTTATTATTTGAATAC